ATCAGGCAAAGCAGGCAGGCAGATTGAGTTGCTCACAGAATCACAGATTCATTCAGAGATCTATCTTTCTACCATCGGCTACCTAAGTCTGTACTGAATAATAGAAGCTTCAGTCCTAAGGAAGATTCAGCTCTGTTTAAAAACAGAGCTGAAGATCTAAAGATTAGCTAAAAAGCAAGAAATCCAATGGTTTCCTCCTTTCCACCTAATCTAAATCTCTTGGTACAGCAGAACAGCTGATGGTCAGGAAAAAAAAAAAAGGAAAAATAGCAACTTAGCAGGCAAGTTTGGCAGGTAAGGAGTGGGTGGGTGGGGAGGGTTCCCGCGGGCCATGTGGACGGCGCAGCCTGGATTAATTGCTTTAGGGGGTGCTCTGGGGGTGACATTTCTTTGTGGCCCACCAAAATTTTCTTGCGGACCACCAGTAGGCTGTGGGCCACTGGTTGGCGACCACTGTCTTAGATTAAATGCTATAAAATTGTGCATAGAGACCACATCATGTATTGGATAGTTATACCTGATAGATTTCTTTCTTCCGTTCTGTTGTCAATGAGGCTCCTGTTGGATTGCCACCATTAGGAATTGTATATAGAAATTTTGGCGTATCATTTTTGAGCTTTTTTACATCTTCAGGATCCCACCTGGAGAGAACTTCTTTCAAAGCTTTTGGAATCATACCATGCTGGTCACTGGGCACATTGATTATGTTACAACCCAGCGGTCTAAGCTATTTTAATAAAATAAGAAACACAAGCAATTATTGTACATATGCATTCTATTCAGCTTTTGATAAATTAATGTCTAAAATTGCTATAACATGCTCATATTCCTGTAAACTAAATCATTCTTATTTCACATTTTGTGAGAATATACTAAAATAATAATATTCTTAAAATATATTAGAAAAAATATTCAGCTTTGATGTACATTTTTCTTACTGCAATTTGTCTTTCTTTTCTGTTGGGTTCCTAAAAGGTGGCTCATAAGATATGTGACAAGACAATATAGTGTGTGATCTGGTTAGGCAGAGGTTGTATGAGATTAGTTTACTTTAGTCTTATCAAAATAAGACATATTTAGCCTTCTCCAAATATGTTGAGATTGCTGAGTAGGAATTCTGAGAAATGAAGTCTGTGTGGTGATATTCATTATGCAGGATGTTGTTTATATGGAGCAGGCCAGCTTTTTGATTTTGAGAATTTCATTATATACACACAATGATGTCTGCAAGGGCAGTTTAAAACAAGATGGAAGTTGTGGCATTGCAGCTAAAGTCTCCCTGTTTTCATTTGTATGCAATGTCAATGGGACCTGGTCTCACATCATATTTGCTACTGTAATATGTTAATATGCCTGTTTTATTTTATTAATATGTCTACATTTTATTGCATATTATATGACATATTTAAGCATATATTAAAGATGTAATTATGTTAATTACAACATTTTCTGTACTGTATGAGATCATTGGATAATCAGGATTGGATACAGATGCACAAACATTCAAATTTGTTTCTTTGAAATGTATAGGAAAGCTCCTAGTTCAACTTTTCTCAGTCTGGTACTCTCCCAGTATGCTCAGACTACAACTCAGACTTCTCAGTTAAAATGTAGCTATACCGGTCGGATGTAGTGACAGAAGTATTAGGAAAGGCTCTCTTCTTCTTAGCTCTGAACAGGCGAAACACGAATGATTTACCTCAATGAAAGAAATGGCATCTGTCTCATATATCTAGCAATAAGATAATAATTTCAATATTACTGGAGTGATTAAAGAATAATAGAATGTGTAAACAATCACAGCAAAAGTTTAAAGGAAACTTTTTTTCCTGTACCAAGCAGCCATCCATTTATTAAGTTATAAATGAATTTTATATTTTATTTGAATTGTATAATGAAAAAAAACATTGCAAAAAATAATACTGTCAACATTTTCTAATTTTTGCATGCTCTTTCCTGTTACTAAATTACAAACCTTCATAGATAATTTTTTCTTGGAAAATCATGCTACAGAATCTGAAAAGCTGCAAAACTGAAGGATAATTGTTTACCACTTTGAAAGTTAAGTTCAGGAAATGCAAATTACATTAATTTTTACTGGAAATAATTTCTGCCCCTTCTTTCCTAGTTCAGCCAAAATCTAAGAAATGGGATCCAGACCTAAATATGTAGAAGCAAAATTGTATCTTTTTATCATCCCAGCCTTTCAGATTTGTGGAATACTCACAGCAGCTAATGTCCCAGGGTAAGTGGGGGCATCCAAAAGAACGTTATCTCCAGGATTAATGAGCATTTCAAACACCTAAAAAATATACAGGACAGTAATTTTTCCTGCTGCAGACAAATATGGCCTTTGATAATAAGAAATAGAGAGATGATTTTTAAATCACAAAAGTAAAATAAAGTCTGGTGTACAGAAATACGAAACACAACGGGAAGGGGAAGCATAAAAAGGAAAGGAAACTTTGTTTATTGTAGTAAATTGTTTAAAAACCAAAACCAATTATGCACATACCAAAGTTAAAGAATTTTAAAACATTGTTCCATTACAATTCATTTTTGGTTCTTTAAGAATGTAAGTATATATCTGGCAAATGGCTTCATAGTTTATCTATACAACTGCTTACTTCATTTTTTAAAACTTTTACGGGATTACATGTAACAAACTTTTATCTGAATGAAAAGAACAAGCAACATGAATAGCCCTTGTGAGCTTCTGTACAAACTCATGAAAAGGCACATCTCTCTAAGGGAAGATTTCATTGAAATAAGTAGGATCTATAATGGCTTCACCGAAATGTCCCTTCTTGCTACTGCATTCATTAATATGTGGGAAGGAAGGAAGCTGAGAAGGAAGAGATAAAACAGAGATGTTTGTAAAGTTTAGAGTAAATACTGGTGATACCTGTAATAATAATAAGAATATAGGACAACCTGGAACTAAAAATAAGCTATCTGCAAGGGTAAGCAATTTGATGTTCAGGATTAGACTTGTAAAATCTCTACAAGTCCTACATATCTGGAGACATAACATCACTTTTCAAAGATTCACAGAAGTTAGAAATTATGCTTGCTGTATATTATAGTTCCTTTTTCTTACTTTACATAGCCCTTCTTGGCTTCCAGTGGTGATACACATTTCCATTTGTCCTTCCTGAGGACTGTAGTCAACCGTTGGAGGGTTATGGACAGTCTTCTGCAAATCCTTCAACCAGGACAATAGTTCTGGAATGCTAAACATGATTACATTAGTAAGTGTATCATGCACTTCATAAGATTGTCATTCTTTTTGCATTTCTTAGACAAATATTTTAATTATTTTATTATGCAGTCACTAATCTGAACAAGTATCTTCCTTTAGACCTTAGTTAAAATACTCTAATCTACCAGCTTTTGCTGCTTACTTCAAATATATCCTAGTTTAGACTTACTCTTGCAGTTGTCATTACCTTCATTATCGCTATTTCAGTGATAATTAAACAAAAATATCTGATGGTTAAAACAATTCAAGATGCACCTCTTAATTTCCAAATGTTCTTTGAAAGAATTAAGTCTTAGTTGCTCTGAAAAATAAATCTATAGGGGCATTGTAGATTTCAGGAAAAGAATGTTGTATGGGGACAGATGGTGGGATTCAAATTTTTTTACTACCGGTTCTGTGGGCATGGCTTGGTGGGTGTGGTGTGGCTTGGTGGGCATGGCAGGGGAAGGCTACTGTAATATCTCCATTCTCTCCCCACCCCACTAATCCGCTTTCCAGCTCCGTTCTCCTGTGCAGGGCAATAAAATAAGACCCAGCCAATCAGCTGGAACTCAGGAGGCAAAGAATATATGGGGGCGGGACCAGTCAGAGGTGGTATTTGCTGGTTCTCTGAACTACTGGTTCTCCAGAACTGGTCAGAACCTGCTCAATACCACCTCTGGACAGATTCAAAAACTCTTGGAGCCCTTTGGAGCCCTTCTGCCCTGATTTGTTCAGGAAAAAACTGGAGCCTCTGGTGGAGATGGCCCTATACATATCCTGAACCTAAGTAATCCTCATAACTAATGCAACTTCTATAATATTGGTGTAGCTCTACCATAGTGATTTTCTCCCACTACCATATAGGCCATTGCATTTGTATCACCTGAATAGTCTTCAAAAGCAAATTCAATTAGAGTAGGTTGCAACTGTCCATGTTTGAATTAACAAGAGAATGAATGAGATGAAAGTGTATTTTAGAGGAGCATTCCCATTCTATCATCGCTTACTATATTCAACAGCACAAGATCAGCAGTAGAATTCTTCAAGTTTTAGGGTTCTATAATTTCCCAGGATTTGAAATGGATACCCAACAATAGAACCATTTTTAAAAAAGCACAACAAATAATGTTCTGCCTGTGTTAGCTCAGGAAGTTCAGACTGCTCTAGCAGCTGTTGATACAGTTTTACTGAGAAATTATTGAGTTTGTCATTTATATGTTTATACTTGTCTGGTTTGATATAGCAACCAAACAGGATGGATACAAATGCAAATAGATAGTTTAGGACTGCAAAAAGAACAATTGCAACCAGCCTGCCTTCCATAGAACACCTCTATACTGAACGATCAGAACAATGCTACAGGGCATCGCATGCCAAAAAAACTAGACGCAGGGAGTTTCTTCCCTTGTGCCATCATTCTGCTGAACATCTCATTCTCACAGTATTATCTAATCTCTATGTACATTTACCCATGTTGTATGGCTGTAGCATTATTATTATCCTTTTTTTTTACTACCCCCTCTTATTGCTATTATGATTACTATTAGTCTGTTGCTTTGCATGTATAGAGCTTCTTCATTGGAAACAAATCGCTTGTGAATCTAATCACACTTGGTGGAATAGAGTATTCTAATTCTAATGATTATCTTTAAAATCTCCCACTCTAAAGACACCTGCAACTGGTGCACTAGCTTTAACTGGATAGCTACATTTTCCACTTTGGTTTAAAAGGATTCCCCGAGTTATGGACCTGCTGCTATTCCAAAAGAATGCAGTTTTGTTAAGTCGGGATCACAAGACCATCTGCTGCTTTCTGGAAAGTAAAGTATCCATTCTTGTTCTATTTCCCTATCTTATGTACTGTATATTAAACATTTTCAGGAAGGTCAACAATGGAAAGAAAACTCTATACAGTAGATCAAGGAGACTATCTCTCCTGCCCCACATTTGTAGTTTCAAAATTCACAACTTTTATTTGCCATTAAAATACCCTGCTGAAGCAGAATACTGGAGAGCTCTCTTCATCAGCTCTTCTTTGATTTCAACTCTTGTTTCATCTTTAATGATAATGGTAGCAGTTTTGAAAGGAAACGTGTTGGGATTTGGTGCTCCTCCAGCCAGAGAAATTAAAGATGGGGGAGATTGCTGCATCAATTCAGCTAGAGTAAAAGAATACACAAAAACAAAACTTGAATCACACCTGATATGAATAGTGCTACTAGTCTGAATTGCAAAAATCCAGATTATGAGATAGCAACAAAAAAACCCCCACTTTGTTGTCCCCCTAGGTGTCATCTAGATTTTTGCCAAATCTGGTAGCCTTATATACAATATTATACAATATTAACATAAATTTTAGGCCTTCCTAAACTTGGTATATAACATTACTTGATATTTAAACCTCATATTCTCCAGTCACCAAAAATTATGCTATCTGGGAAATAACAGTATCATACAACATGGAATCCAACTTTAAGGTAAACTAGTACAATGCCTATTGTGTGGACATTTTTAAAAATAGCTGCCTAGCTTTCTGTACGTTCTCATTTATTTATTCACTTATTTATCTAGAAAGCTGATATTGCACAAAGTACCATCTTCCATGACACATTTTCAGAAATAATGAATTTCCGCACTTCATATGAAACAAATTTTTGGAACAAAAACTCCTAGGAAGATTCAGAGCTCACATAATTGTTTCCTATGTAATTTCTGAACATTGTTATTTTTCTCCCCCGCCCCTCCCAATTTGTCTTCTTCAAAGTAGGTGGCCAAAGATACCATGGCACCTTTTCTTCTGAATGGGAAGCTCCTGTTATGTCAGCAATTTTTTGGGGAAAAAAATCACAACACTTTACAAATTCCAGGGGCGCCCACCTCCATATATCATGTCTTCTTAATAATCATGCCTACTCCACAGCTGAATATTCTGCCCATTTGGCTTAATAGTTGCCACACTAGCGAGATCGATGCTAGACTAAATGATACAATGAGGATCATAAACGGTTACATAAAATCTATTACTTGCTGGCTCCCTGTCTTGAGCCACATTGCACCACCAGCTCTACGGAGGCAGGAAGCCTTAGTGAAGGAGTACAACAAAGTTATGACAAATCCTTCCTGTGCGCGCTGATCTTCCTCATCTATCAATTGGCAGGCTTAAATATAGCAAGCCCTTTCTGATACTCGCTCAACAGCTGTCTAACAACTTTGACATCAATTCACCGTGGAAAGCCAAATGGACTGCTGAATGCCCAGATACAGGCAGTTACGTAGATGACTGTACCAGCATTGGTCAACTCTGAACAGGATCCGTACCCAACATGGTGTCTGCCAAGATTCATTGTTTAACTGGGGTCTTGTCTCTATGCCTCAGTGTGACTGTGGTGCTCCTTGACAAAATATCCATCACATTGCGCCCGAATGCCCATCAAGAGCTTACAACGGCCCAATGTCTGATTTTTTTCAATACAGACCACCCTGTCCTTTAATGGCTGGGTGGATGGACATTAATATTTGAATCACTATAAGTCCATGTATTTGCCAAAGGCAAAATAAATAAAATCATGTGTATGACATCCCCTAACTAGAAGAACTTGAGGAAAATCTGAAGAACTAATTGCAAAATATATACTTACTGAGGACTCTTATTGGAGACGCTTTTCTTGCTGCACTTACTGCAGTAATGAATCGTGAATAATTCATGCTTAATGCACCAAGTAGCAAAGTTAATCTTCAAAATGAACTGGATATAAATAAAATCAAGACAAATACACATAAGCACACAAAATGCATGCTTTAAAACACTATTACCAGCACAAGCATTTGAAGAAATTATAAAATTCAAAAGAGAATGAGTTGCATCTATCACTTATTACTTAAACTTTATTTGTTGAAGATATTTTTCTCAAAAAATATTCCTGTTGGAGATGTAATTTTGGGAAAAATATTACCAAATATTCAATGTCAAGATACACAGCATAAAATAGTAAACATTCAATGTAAGATGTACAATATGAAATATTAAAATTAATGATAATTTTCATGCTGTTTGTCATAAAGTTGAAAGCCTCTTATTTACATTACCACCATTTTCTGTTCCCTATTTTAGCTTTTCTTCAGGATACCTAGGACTTTCTAGGACTGCCAAACAAAAGACATCGTCCAACTATTTTGATTTTTTTAAAAATTGATTATCTGGACAGTTAAAAATCTTCTGTTTTTTACCCCTACTTCAAAAACTGGACATACATAACTCCGATAAAAAATAGTAAAATATATAAATATATAGATTACAAAAATATATTACAACATAATCAGAATGCCTATATTAAAAATATATGAGAAGGAGTATTAGGGACATTAATTTTAGCAAGGAATAAAGTCAGGGTTTGTCCTTCTTTGTTCTAATTCTTTGTCCCTTGTGCCATTCAGAAGTAAGTGTTGTACCCCAATAAATGCATCCCTGACATAAACAGGTATAAGCACAAATGCACATACATTTCTTGAGTATTAAAAGGCAGCAAAAGCACATAGTCATGGAGTAGCACTTCACACTAAATCTGTAGATTTAGAAGTTAGCAACAACTGTATGGCCCCTTCTTCAGTATCTTTCTTTGCATTTAAAATTGTTTCATATTGATGTGGGATGGGAGATTTATTTAAGACTTATTTGCCAACAGGGAAGAAATGAAATAGGAAAAATTTCCTAGTTGCAACAGGGAGGAATTTTTTTTTTCTCTTTCGTGATTCAAGGTTTCTGGAAACAGAAAAAATAAAATAGTTGGAGGGTTATGTACATGTGTCTGAGAATGGCACAGGAAAAATGCAGATAAAACACCAAATTAACTGGGACAGTCTTCGGATTGAGAACTTTAGAGATAGTGGGAATATATTTCAAAAACAGGAATATTGCTGTTTCATTTGAAAATCTTTGTTCTAGCTAGATATGACACCTGCATACAGGTAAGTCAGTGGTGGGATTCAATTTTTTTTACTACCGGTTCTGTGGGCGTGGCTTGTTGATCGTGGCAGGGGAAAGACACAGTAAAATCTCCAGTCAGAAGTGGTATTTGACGGTTCTCCCAACTACTCAAAATTTCTGCTACCGGTTCTCCAGAACTGGTTAGAACCTGCTGAATACCACCTCTGAGGTAAGTCCTCGAGTTACAAATGTAATGGAGTCTGCCCGTTCCATTTGTAACCCCAAAGATTTGTGGGAGTGTATCTCGTACCTTGAACGTGATCACTCCCTTTTGCCCACACATTTGCATTAGTGAATGCAAGGCTCGTTAAGCTTCTCTGCTCACCGAGCCTACCTGCCACTTCTGGAGTGGCGGGCAGCCTCTGTGAGTCTCCTCCAAAGACTTTCAGACTCTGCGTGGAAAAGCGTTTGCATGAAGTGAGGCTTTGGTGCAGCGAACTCGCATTGCTCCAAGCCCCTCATTAGCATGCAACCACTTTTCCCGTGGAGACCGGAACCTTCTGGGTGCCCTGATCCCGCGGGATGTCAGGCACCCATTCTCTGCAAAAGCAGATGGGTGCCTGAATTCATGCGAGACCATGAACCGCAGAAATTTTCAGTCTTCATCTGGGTGAAAAGTGTTTGAGCGACCCTGGGGGAGGTTGGAACGGAGTGAAAAACTCTGTTTTCAAACAATTCGCTGTTTACAACCCAACCCCAGGGCCGCTTAAACACCTGTTGCCCTGACAGAGACTGCAAACTTTGTCTGCATGGAAATGGTGCACTTGAAAACGGAGCTTCTCTTCAGCAGAGGCCTTGAGGAAAGGCCTTTCCTGGCACAAAACAGAGCTCTGGAGTAATGTGCACTCCCTCCAGGGTCTCTGTTCTTGGCAGCAAAGGCTTTTGGCAAAGATGGCAAAAGCCTTTGCAAACTGAGGAAAAGCTTTGAAGTTTCAGGTCTTCCCTCCGTTTGCAAAGCCTTTTGCTGCAGCTCTCATCCAGGCCTCTGTTTGCAGAGAACAAAGGCCTAACGTACTGTGAGATCGATAGTGTGCATTCTTGCGCTTCTGATCGAGCGTGATCTATCGGTACTTTAGGCCTCTGTTCTCTGTGTAAACACCAAAGGCAAGACAGTGAATGCTCTCTAGATCTTCGCAAGGTGAGTATCCATAGGCCTAGTGCTTATGGAGACCCGACGCAGGGGTGGAATAGGCAGGGCGAATGTTACAGAGCCTCTGCAGTCATTCGTAAGAGCAAACAACTGCTGTGGTGTTGCAACATTCGTAGTTTCGGGACTTGTTCGTAAATCCTAGGGGACGCTTATCGTGTAAATTCGAACATTTGCTACACCTTACTTCAAGGCTTCATTTTCATTTTCCAAAACAAGATGTATTTAAGTGCTACTTAAACAGTTCTCCAAAGTATTTGTGTATGTGGGAAGAGGATGGAAAGTGTACATGCAAAAGTGCAATTATGTGACCCTTCATTGCATGGGTGGTAGACATATGCAAGTTAAACATATTATATCATGCAGCTTTTGGGATTCTGGTAAAGCTGCTAAAACAGTAAGTGCAACTGGTTTCTTGAAAATATTTTAGGCATATAGAAAATAAAAATAACTTCTATATGACTCTGTTCACCCTTTCCATTTTCTCTTCTTGCTATGAATTCTTGAACAGAAGCACTAACTAGCTACTGACCAATCCTTTTCAGCTTGGAATTCTTCCTAGTAAGTAAATGAGTTGTAGTCTAACACAGGGGTCTCCCAACTCCCGATCTATAGACCAGCATCAGTCTGTGGCATGCCAGCAACCAGGCCACACAAACAAGCAAAGCCCCATCTGTGTGATGCAGGCAGCATGCAAAGTCAAGCCCTCTTTGGTCTGCAGAAAAACCTTTCCCCATGGAATCGGTCCCTGCTGTCCAAAAGGTTGGGGGCCACTGGTCTAACACATTGGGAAGACTCCGGTTGAAAAAAATGTTTTTTTTTAAGGGATCGTACATGAAATATATATTTATATATGAAATGTATTTTTCCAATAAGCAACAACCCCTCACCTCTTATATTAACAATGATCCAATAAATGACATGTGAGCCCACTGATATACTAGGTATTTTTTACTACACCCTTCCCAGCTATTATGTATGCTGAGGAGCAGAATTTTAATTATTTTTCTTCTTCCTATTACAATTTCTCTAGAAATGTATTTGAGAGGACCACTATTCTGGAAAAATTCAGCTGCATGACCAGTGGTGGAATCCAATTTTTTTTTACTACTGGTTCTATGGACGTGGCTTGGTGGCCAATTTAGCAGTCCATTTGTCTTTGTTCTTCCTAAGCTGTACTTGCTGAACCCAAGGCATCTATTATTTTAATAAGACACCTCCCCCTGAGAAAAAGAGCACAAACTTTCTTGCCACTTGCCTAATTTCAGTGTAATAGGAGCTTCAGGCTCCTTAAAATAGGCATGAAAAAAAGAATAAAACAAACAGGATTTCCTTCAAAATAACTCCTGGTCATGTTTCAGAAGACCACATAATAAGCCAGACTGAGAACTGCACCAATTAAGGCTGTAATTAAACCCCCCCAAGATTTGGGAAAGAGAACCACTTTAAAATCCATTAGCATTGCATTTCTCTGAATGCACCATATACCTTTATCTTATGTATTGTAAATTGATTTCTTATGCATTTAACTCATGGAATGACCTTTTGTTACTACTTCCAGCAATATTAATCTGCATTTCTTACTTTATTTAAAACGGACAGATTTCAAATTACATAAACCCCACTGAGATTGTCGGTAGGCAAACACAAACCCCATGGATGTGCTCCCTCAGCCCCACCCACCCAATCTGTTTTGAAAGGTAAATATTATATATAAAGTAAATGTTACAGGCAATACCTTAATGCTGATTAAATCTAAAAGAGGCCAAACCAGGATGACTGACCAGAAAGTGATTCCCTGATAACTAAGGACTGGTCCTCCTCAAGTTTCATTTAGAATTGGAGGGGTGGCAGAGAAAGAAAAGCTTTAAAGTTACATAGGCTTATTCTGGTAATTACACAGCTAATTAATTTAGGTCCCAGAACACAGGCAATGAAACAACAACAAGAAAAACCCACCCCCAGCCTCCTCCTCTCCCACGTGGCTTTTTCTGAACTAAAGAATTAAACAACTGAACCCAGAGTTGGAAGATAGCCTTAGCAGTATGTTCACCTTAGCAAACACACATACAAGAGACGAATCCAAAGTCAGAGAAAGGACCCTTACAAGCCCCAGTCATTGCTTCCTCTACTCCCACCTGTTTTTCTTCCGAATCCAAAGGAAAAAGCTCCCAGCTCAGAAACGAAGCTCCCAGAGCTGGAGAGCTGCAAGGTAAAGCAACGCAATTTTAAAAACTCAGGGAGAAACCCCCTCCTCCTCTCCCACGTGGTTGCTTCCGAGCTAAAGAAGGCTAGCAATTGAGCAGGGAAGCTGAAGTGGGAGAGCTCAAATGTCAGTTGGGGGGGGGAATTTAAGCTTTGGGCTCCCCCTTTTCTTCCTTCCTTCCTTCCTTTTCAGCAAGTGGCATGAAATGCGCTTGATTTGCAGGGTCTGAAACTTACTTTCCCTTTTCTGCCTTTGCTGGGTTCACAGCCAAGGAATGCTGCTTCTTTTGCTGCCTCCGCGCAAAAATAACCCCTCTCTTTCTTTCTCCTTTCTTCCTTCCCTGCCTGCCTCCTTCTCATTCAGATGGGCGTGTTTTTGGTCTCCCGGGGCATCTGCGCGCCCCGTGTTCCACCTTCTCAGACCCCAGAAGCCTCTGCCGGCCCAAAATGGGCGTGTTTTTGCGCCCCCCCCCCCTCCAGTACCTCTCTGCCTTACCTTCCACTTCCAGCTCGCGAAGGTAAGTCCTGCGGTCGGAGGAAGTATGGGGGCTAGTGGGTGGGCGGGGCAGCCTCGTGGTCCCACG